TATGGTTTTCAAACCATGGGTTTGGCTTTAAAACCCCGAAAAACTCTTATTCTATGGTTTTCAAACCATGGGTTTGGCTTTAAAACCCCGAAAAACTCTTATTCTATGGTTTTCAAACCATGGAACACTAATTCTATGGCTGTCTCTTATACACATCTAGATGTGTATAAGAGACAGGTCTCCGTGTCCGCAGTTTGCAGCAGTAACAGCGTCTCCGTGTCCGCAGTTTGCAGCAGTAACAGCGTCTCTGTGTCCGCAGTTTGCAGCAGTAACAGCGTCTCTGTGTCCGCAGTTTGCAGCAGTAACAGCGTCTCCGTGTAGGACTTGGCTTCTCTTCTAAGTTTTTTAGGTTTAATGCAAATGTAATGCTACTGCGATATTAATTTAATTTGATTATAGGTGCATATAATTTTAATTTAATACGTAAAACTATCGCAGTTCACGCCCTGATGCTGCTGCTCAACATGCTGGGCGGGCTGGCCATCCTCTTCAGTAACGGCGAGGCGGTCACCTTCGGTCTCGGGCTCCTCTACCTGCTGCTCTTCACGCCGGTCTCCTACGTCTGCTGGTTCAGGACGGTCTACAAGGCCTTCAGGTAGATATAGCATTGTGATCTACCACTAGACGTTCAGGTAGATATAGCATTGTGCTCTACCACAAGACGTTCAGGTAGATATAGCATTGTGCTCTACCACAAGACGTTCAGGTAGATATAGCATCGTGCTCTACCACAAGGCATTCAGGTAGATATAGCATTATGCTCTACCACAAGACGTTCAGGTAGATATAGCATTATGCTCTACCACAAGGCGTTCTGGTAGATATAGCATTGTGCTCTACCTGCTGCTATCAGTACCGGTAATATACTTGTAATGTTGTAATTTCCGTGACCAATTTATAAAGTATATCTTCTCATGCATTAATAATTTCATTAATTATATTTCAATGTGTTGATGAAATTGTGAATACCTATGTATTAATATTAATTTGTTTATACACTTGCGATTGATGACCAGAGAATTAGTTGATTTTTATTATCTGGGAGTGGAACTTTTCTTCAGATGACGGTAGATCAAAATGCACGTTTCAGGAAGTAATTCTTATTTATTAACGACGTTTCGAATGCAACAAACATTCATTTTCAAGTAAGAAGAAGCATTAAACATCATTTTGGTGGAAATAAGTACATAATATAAGTAAAAAGGATACAACAGTAAAATTTTGGACCAAAAATTACTCGGAAAATACTTTCAGAGTTCGGACAAATCCGGTAGTCAGAAAATAACATTAATTTCAATATAATTAATAAAATTAGTATGTTCTCATGCACTCCTCAATTATCTCGGTAGTTACTCTCCAATAATATTTTAAATCGGGCATTCCTTGTTTTTTTGTGTTCTCTTTCACCATCCGCAAGCACGTTTATGCGCCTCCAGACTTACTATATTTCTAACTAAACCTGAGGACATGGATTCGTTGATTAAGTGCGTGAGGGATAAGTAAGACACCATCTGTCTAGAGATCTTATCTTGATACGAGGTGGTGATACGTGAGATATATTACAGTATACCGGGTCGTAGTAAATGAGTGTTACAGTACAGTATACAGGGTGGTACAATACACGAGCGTTATATTACAGTATACGGGGTCTTGATATGTTAGGAAAACAGTACAGTATACGGGGTGGTAGTACATGAGTGTTACAGTACAGTATACAGGGTGGTACAATACACGAGCGTTATAGTACAGTATACGGGGTGTTGATATGTGAGGAAAACAGTACAGTGTACGGGGTGGTAGTACATGAGTGTTACAGTACGGTACCTATACAGGGTGGTAATACACGAGCGCTACGGTATATTACAGTATACGGGATGTTGATATGTGAGGAAAACAGTACAGTATACGGGGTGGTTATACATGAGAGTTACAATCCAGTATGCGGGGTGGTATTACATGAGAGCTACAGTACATGAGAGCTACACGGGGTGGTTATACAGGGGGGGGTTACAGTACAGTATACGGGGTGGTATACACGAGTGATACAATACAGGTAAAGCTAGGACCTGTTAGATCGGAGTAGCTCTAACGCACGTTACGTCGCGACGTACTTATCAGTTCCTGAGGGTTTTACCTAGGTTCCCAGCCCATTTATAGACTTCGCACTTCCGCCCACCGGGTTGTCCTCGGGACACATATGCTGTGTAAGCTGTAAACTCAGCGTCTGAGGCAAGTCTCAGTGACACAGTGGACTGTTTGGAAAAACGGTGAAAAAACAGTCCCACTGGCGCTCTAGTGGCCGGTCGCCACCTGAATATGAACTGTTTCGCCGTTTTTATCAGATGTTTTACGGATTTCTAGTGTTAAATTAGAATAAAAACGGCGACATGGTGTTTGTTTTCACGTGCCGACCGGCCACTGAAACGCCGGTAAATCCGTTAACGGTAATTTTTCTAACAGTGTGGACTCAATAGTAGCTAACTAGGTCTGCTGGTCTAATGGTATGTTGGTCTGCTGGTCTACTGGTATGCTGGTCTGCTGGTCTAATGGTATGTTGGTCTGCTGGCCTGATGGTATGTTGGTCTGCTGGCCTGATGGTATGCTGGTCTGCTGGTCTAATGGTATGTTGGTCTGCTGGCCTGATGGTCTGCTGGTGTGATGGTCTGCTGGTCTACTGGTCTGCTGGTATGCTGGTCTGCTGGTCTAATGGTATGCTGGTCTGCTGGCCTGATGGTCTGCTGGTGTGATGGTCTGCTGGTCTACTGGTCTGCTGGTATGCTGGTCTGCTGGCAAGCACTCGAGCATTTGTACCTTCAAACTACTCTTGGACATTACAATGATTTTTATTATCCCGGTCTTTATCTTGTGAGAAAATGGTGTTGTGTGTTGCAGGGACGACTCATCATTGTTGTGTGTTGCAGGGACGACTCATCATTGTTGTGTGTTGCAGGGACCACTCATCATTGTTGTGTGTTGCAGGGACGACTCATCATTGTTGTGTGTTGCAGGGACGACTCATCATTGGCGTGTGTTGCAGGGACGACTCATCATTCAACTTCATGGTGTTGTGTGTTGCAGGGACGACTCATCATTCAACTTCATGGTGTTGTGTGTTGCAGGGACGACTCATCGTTCAACTTCATGGTGTTCTTCTTCATCTTCTTCTTCCAAACCGTGGTGGCGGTGGTGACGGCCGTGGGCATCCCCAGCATGGGCTCCTGGTGAGGCGCACAATTATAAGAATTTTTTAATTACCATTATTTCTAATATCTCCATTATTAGTATAATAATTATTTAATTACCATTATTTCTAATATTTCTATTATTAGTATTCGGGTGGCCCAGTGGTTACAGCTCCGAGTACCTGGATTGGCGCAGAGAGGCGCGGGTTCGATCCCAGCTCTGTGCGCCAGTTTCTGGTCAGAATCGGCGAGGAGGCCGGGCGGTTAAGGGGCGCGTCTGGGTGCAAAATCAACAGTATTGGCTTTTCCGGGTTTAGTCTCATCTTAAAGCTGACATTCTGAGCTATCCAACGGTACCAAAACCATCTCTGTACGTTGATTTCCGAAAGGCAAAACCACCTCTGTACGTTGATTTATGCGTTCACGATAGATTCCGAAAGGGTGGGGGGTGGAGGAGTTCTTTAACATTTTAGATAGGGGGAAATTAGCTGCCGAGCACTTGAATAGAGTGTCTGCTTGAGCTGCAGCTCAGTTACCCGCCTGGCGTCGTACGAGGAGGTGTGCATGCAGTCGCTCCCATCATCCTTGACTGTAATCAAGCTTCAGTAACGTTTAGTTTTGTATCCTTGCTACATTGAGTGGCTATTCCTATGCGCGCGGGACTTTGTAGCGCTCTCCTGAACAGTTGACTTATTGTCACAGCAAACCTATCTCCTCCTAGAGTTTTGGAGCTATAACAATGAGACATATACCATTAGATTCGCAATTAAAATGTCTAGAGATTGTTTTTTTGCGTTTTTTTCAATTTCGTTATAGTTTTTAAAATATTTAGTAAAAAAGGGGGGGGGGAAAGGGGAAAAACAAAAAATTTCCGAATATTTTGCATAAAAAAGGCTCCCCCATCCACAAAAATTCGAAATTAAAAAAAAAAACGAAGACGAATCGATAGATACCGTATGGTCTTTACGCATCGAGTGATATGCGTCTCGATGTTGTAGCTTCAAAATCCTAGGAGGAGATAAATTTCTATAGTACCCCCTTTTTTGCCGTTTTCGAAGAATTTCACGTGTTCTTTCATTTTTTCGAAAAATTGACACGAACAAAGAAGTCATAGATTTCTGTTTTACATAGGTGTACCAAGTTTCAAAGTGATCCGTCCGTAAAAAAAAAGTGTTTTCACCACCCAGACGCTCCCCTTAAGCACAGCAGAATTGGAGCAGTGAGTTGTGAGTTCGAGACCGCAACAAGCTGTCAATGTTCTGCGATGTTAAGAATCAGCGACAGGCCTACGGCCTAATAAACGCTGTAACCGCTATTTAGTATTATTATTAACTCGATTATTATAATAACTGATAATGCAATTATTATTATAACTAATAATTTAATTTTCATTTTTACTAATAATTCAAGTATTATTATTACTATTGATTCAATTTTTATTGTTACTTATAATTCATTCATAAGCAATACTTTTCATTAGTAATTATGAATTAATTACTTCATTATTGAAGTCTCGGCGAAAGTTAATGTTTGTCTCGGCAAAACTGAGATACGTGCGTCAGTTTCAGGCATGTGACTCACACATTTATTTGTGTGGTTAGTTTTGTCTTTTGGACTGGCTGGTCTGTTGGACTGGCTGGTCTGTTGGACTGGCTGGTCTGTTGAACTGGCTGGTCTGTTGGACTGGCTGGTCTGTTGGACTGGCTGGTCTGTTGGACTGGCTGGTCTGTTGGACTGGCTGGTCTGTTGGACTGGCTGGTCTGTTGGNTTTGGGTCTGTTGAACTTTTGGGTCTGTTGAACTTTTGGGTCTGTTGAACTTTTGGGTCTGTTGAACTTTTGGGTCTGTTGAACTTTTGGGTCTGTTGAACTTTTGGGTCTGTTGAACTTTTGGGTCTGTTGAACTTTTGGGTCTGTTGAACTTTTGGGTCTGTTGAACTTTTGGGTCTGTTGAACTTTTGGGTCTGTTGAACTTTTGGGTCTGTTGAACTTTTGGGTCTGTTGAACTTTTGGGTCTGTTGAACTTTCAGGTCTGTTGAACTTTCGGGTCTGTTGAACTTTCGGGTCTGTTTGACTTTTGGGTCTGTTGAACTTTTGGGTCTGTTGAACTTTCGGGTCTGTTGAACTTTTGGGTCTGTTGAACTTTCGGCTCTGTTGAACTTTCGGGTCTGTTGAACTTTCGGCTCTGTTGAACTTTCGGGTCTGTTTGACTTTCGGGTCTGTTGAACTTTCAGCTCTGTTGAGCTCTCGGCTCTGTTGAACTTTTGGGTCTGTTGGACTTTCGGGTCTGTTGAACTTTTGGGTCTGTTGAACTTTTGGGTCTGTTGAACTTTCGGGTCTCTTGAACTTTCGGGTCTCTTGAACTTTCGGCTCTGTTGAACTTTCAGGTCTGTTGAACTTTCGGCTCTGTTGAACTTTCGGGTCTGTTGAACTTTCGGCTCTGGTGAACTTTCGGGTCTGTTGAACTTTCAGGTCTGTTGAACGTTCGGGTCTGTTGAACTTTCGTGTCTGTTGAACTTTTAGGTCTGTTGAACTTTCGGCTCTGTTGAACTTTCGGGTCTGTTGAACTTTCGGCTCTGGTGAACTTTCGGCTCTGGTGAACTTTCGGCTCTGTTGAACTTTCAGGTCTGTTGAACGTTCGGGTCTGTTGAACTTTCGGGTCTGTTGAACTTTTAGGTCTGTTGAACTTTCGGGTCCGTTGAACTTTCGGTTCTGTTGAACTTTCGGGTCTGTTGAACTTTCGACTCTGTTGAACTTTCGGCTCTGTTGAACTTTCGGCTCTGTTGAACTTTCGGGTCTGTTGTACTTTCGGGTCTGTTGTACTTTTGGGTCTGTTGAACTTTCGGATCTGTTGAACTTTCGGGTCTGTTGAACTTTCGGATCTGTTGAACTTTCGGTTCTGTTGAACTTTCGGGTCTGTTGAACTTTTGGGTCTGTTGAACTTTTGGGTCTGTTGAACTTTTAGGTCTGTTGAACTTTCGGGTCTGTTGAACTTTCGGGTCTGTTCGGGGTCCAAAGTGTGGAGTCGGGCAAAGCTTGTCTATGGAGTGCGGAGGCCACCATCATTCAACTTCATGGTGTCAATGTGGTCTCCCTGTTCGTTCGTCCATTGCAGCTCTCGTTGGAAGGTTTCTCATATTGAGGCTAGTATCGTCTGGATGATGTCTTCTTTTGTATTTAGTGAAGACCTATTTAGGCCTACTTAGTGATGGCCCGTTGGGTGGCGACCGAGGCCCTGTTCTAACAAGAATGACATCATGTCACCAGCCCTCTCACCCCCGTAATCCAGCATACCCCCCTGCCGTGTTAACCCCGGGATGTACCCCTCTCACCCCCGTAACCCGCTAACCCCGGGATGTACCCCCCTCACCCTCCCCTCATCCCCGTAACCCGTTAACCCCGGGAAAGGAAGATATCTCTAACTGCAGGCAGGAAGAGATATTTTTTTATTGCAAATTAAAACACATGAACGAAATCCATCTAATGACTCACCCCAGCGGGATGCTGGAGGCGGTGCAGCTGATGAGGGCGGCAGGGTCGGTGGGACAGTTGGCGGTGGGCGCGGTGGTGGCGATGCTGGCGCTGCTGTGGTGCCTCGTGGCCCTCGCCATGATCTATGCCTGGCTCGAGGTGACCCAAGCCCCATATATATTAGAATATTTCTCAATGAAACTAAATAAATATAACTTGGCGTGGCTTTTGATGTAAACTTTAAGTCACATCATGAGCTACCTTGCAGGTAGCTCATTGTTTCTGGGACACCTCATTGCGTCTCAGTAAGCTCATGATGCCTGAGACACCTTATAGTGTCTGAGACACCTCGTTGTGTCTGAGACACCTATGGTGTCTCAGTAAGCTCATGGCGTCTGAAACACCTCATTGTATCTCAGTGAGCTCTAAAGAATTGCAATTGCATCTTGTCTATGAATATACGGTATTGGTTATAACTTTGGTCACTTCTGCTTTGGCTGTCCCCAATTTCTCGTCGCCTGCCTGATCTCTTGGCTTTAACACGTTAAGTGCGGCACAGGAATTTTTGTTTTAAAAAAATCAATGTTTGCTCCGGAACCTACAAATTTACTAGTGAATATTTAATAATGTGCCTTGTTTGTTCTCTGACTTGGCCGTTTTAGGCCATCTGGCAACCGTGGTGGGCCGCACTTGACGTGTTAAACTTTGTACAGTAAAACTCTCGATTCTAATGCCCCTTCTACATACATCATGATTCTAACACGCCATATTCACGTCTCCCGGCCCCTGGTGCCGGGAAAAACTCTCCTTCAAAACAAAAATTTTTGCCGTACGTGCGGCCAAAAAAAAAATTAGTTTGGATCAAGAGTTGCCACGATTGTTATAGGTACTTCACCGTTATAAAAATCGCCATTAAACGGTCTCACCGGCGTTCAAGTGGCCGGTCGACACGTGAAAAGAAACACCGTATTGCCTTTTTATTCAAATTTATCACTAGAAACCCGTACAACATCTGAAAAACGGATAAGCGGTTCATTTTCGCTTGACGGCCGGCCTCCAGAACGCCGGTGAGACCGTTTATTAGCGCATTTTTCCATTTATGGAAAAAATGCCCTATTGCCCTATTATGCTCGCCATATCCGTCCGTCCGTCTGTCTATCTGTCCGTCCGTCTGTCCGTGACTTCACGTTTTCGTCGACGAGAAAATGCGCTCCGTCACTCACTGCAATGAGTACTGAGTTATAATTTTTTACTGTTTTCCGAACAGTTTCCCTGCCAGGAAACTGTTGTCTGTATGTCGTACTAGCTTCTTTAACTCACAAGGGAGTAGCTGGGGGTGCTTCATCCTTTCTTTTAAGTTGACACGAATTTTTCAATTGTTGATTTTAATGTTGATGTGAAGTTTGGTTTTGAGAGTTCAATTTTTTATTGTATTGCTGATGTTTTCGATATGCGTTGGAAATTTTTTTGAAAGAGTTCAATTATCTTTTGTATTGCCATTGGTTTTGAGGGTGACAGCTGTGAAGGTTTTTGAAAGGAGTTGAATTATCTATTGTGTTTCTGATCCTTCTGTTGATATGTGTTGTACATTTGTTTTGAGAATTGAATTATCTATTGTATTGCTGATGGTTTTGAGGTTGGAAGCTGTGAAGGTTTTTGATAGGAGTTGAATTATCTATTGTGTTTCTGCTGCTTTTGTTGATATGCGATGAAAATTTGTTTGAAAGCGTTCCATTTTCTATTGTATTGCTGTACCGGTACACTGTTGCTTTTTTTATAATTTCGTGGCCGTCCTCTGGTTTGACAAGGAGCGACATGGATCGTGGTTCACGTGAATGGTTCACAGGCCTGAAACTCGTCGCGTTAATAAAGAATAATAAATTTATAATTTATATTAATATAAAGAATAAATATATTATATAACACTACCCTGACGCTGGCAGCGGGTGGGTATCGGTGGGGCGGGCGTTCGGGTCCCACCAGATCGCCCTCGGGATCTTCCTGACGCTGGTCGCCCTGGGGTGCTCTGCTGACGCTGGGGGCATGGCAGTCCTCCTCCTTTGGGTGAGTCATGCGGGGAGACATGCTGGGTGTTTCATGCGGGGAGACACGCTGGGTGTTTCCTGCGGTTGACACGCTGGGTGAGTCCTGCGGGGAGACGCGCTGGGTGTTTCATGCGGGGAGACACGCTGTGTGTTTCCTGCAGGAAGACACGCTGGGTGTTTCCTGCGAAGGATACTATGTGTGATTACAGTTCAGAGTATCAAGATTGGAGCAGTGAGTTGCAGGTTCTATCCCAGCTACCTGCAACAGTTCTAGTCGAAATAGTCGAGGAGGCCAGGCGGTTAAGCGCAGCAAAATTGTAGCAGTGAGTTGCGTGTTCGAGACCCGCTACAAACTGTGAACAATTCTGGGGTTTTTAGAGTAGGCGACTGGTGTAACGGCCTAATGACGCTAGATATTTAGGCTAGATATTTTATATAGGGTAGATATATAAGATATTTAGGCTAGATATTTTGTATATTTAGGCTAGGCTTTAGGCTGGATATTTTAGATATTTAGGCAAGTTATTTAAGATATTTTTGCTAGATATATTAGGTTAAAATGAACAGATACATCTGCAGACAAAGTGTATTTCTTATGAATATGTACCTATTGCAGTGCATTTACACTGCATTTACAGTGCATTTTAATTAGCAGTTACATATTTATAAGAAATGCACTGTAAATGCCCAAGTTTCGCCAGCTCGTCTTCCTCATTATCATGAGGTGTGTGAGTATCCTACACAGAGGACATGATTGCGTTACTAAAATTTGAGTTGGTTTTTGGCTTACATTTACAAAAACATTTTCCTTATTTTTCGTGCCATTTTGTTGACTGTTTTTTGGCTGCGTTTAGGTCACACGCTTTATGGTTCACGGGGTTTTCTTCAGCGTTTTTTCTATATAATTTACGAATGTTTAGTTTTAATGATTATATTTTGACCGAGCTGCAACTTGGATAAATAGTTAATGAATTGATTGATAATATATTTGGTATTTAAGTTATTGTAAACAACAATAAATGCTCCATGTGAAATAGAGTAGACTATGTTTTGTCAAATAATAACCATGGTATATAAATGCAATACAAATGCTCTTTACATGCACTCTAAATACACTCTAAATACTTTGTAAATACACTGTAAATGCACTCTAAATGCCCTGTAAACGCCCAGTAACCCCACAACACGCCCCCAGGTGCACCGCATCTACCGCAGCACGGGCGCTATAAATACACTGTAAACGCCCTGTAAACGCCCTGTAACTGCCCAGTAACTGCCCAGTAACCCCACAACACGCCCCCAGGTGCACCGCATCTACCGCAGCACGGGCGCTATAAATGCCCTGTAACTGCCCTGTAAACGCCCTGTAACTGCCCAGTAACGCCCCACAACACACGCCCTGTAAATGCCCTGTAACTGCCCTGTAACTGTCCAGTAACTGCCCTGTAAACGCCCTGTAACTGCCCTGTAAACGCCCTGTAACTGCCCAGTAACGCCCCACAACACGCCCCCAGGTGCACCGCATCTACCGCAGCACGGGCGCTATAAATACACTGTAAACAACCTGTCTCTTATACACATCTAGATGTGTATAAGAGACAGGCTGTAGGGGGAGTGGGGGACTTGTGGCTGCTGTAGGGGGAGTGGGGGGACTTGTGTCTGCTGTAGGGGGAGTGGGTGGAGTTTGCTCAGCGGGACATCCTAATTCTTGTTGATAGTTTAATGATACCTTAATCTTCTTTGAACATAAAATGTCTCAATATTATCTATTAATGCATTTGAAATAAGTCTCTTTGGTCTTGCAAGCTAATTTTTAATCCCTATTGTTTACCTTATGATTTACCTCACCCTTTGTGGTAAGGCATATACAAGGCCTACCAATAATAATTCTTCCCCAAGGAAGAATTATTATTATAAAGAATTACTAATTATTAATTAATTAATAAGGAAAATATGAAAATAATTCCTAATTAATTATTAATAATTATTTTTCCTCCCCAGGAAGCTGAAGGACGCGGCAGCCTGAGGTGAAGAGAAGGACCGCGGCGCTGCCATCGCTTGTACTCTTTTGTTTCATTATTATTTTTATTTTCTATTTCATCATTATTATTGATGCCAATATATGGTCTGCAGTCTACGAGTCTATTGGTCTGCAGTCTACGAGTCTATTTATTCAATGGAAATAATCAGAAGTTTGTTCGGATGTTAAACTCCCAAAAAAATTATGGATCCGTTGATATTGCAAACAAATTTTCGCCAATTTTCTAGGTAAATATTCGTGAATATTATGGCTAAATATTCGTGAAGATTATGGCTAGATATTCGTGAAGATTATGGCTAGATATTCGTGAATATTATGGCTAGATATTCGTGAATATTATGGTTAAATATTCGTGAATATTATGGCTTAATATTTGTGAATAATATGGCTGAATATTCGTGAATATTATGGCTAAATATTCGTGAATATTATGGCTAAATATTCGTAAATATTATGGCTAGATATTCGTGAATATTATGGTTAAGTATTCGCATCTCTAAAAGTTGTATTGTTGTATGTATGAACTTGACTTATAAATAAAGTGCAATGGACGTCTATAAATGTAATGAAGTTATTGTTTATTATTGCGTTTACTGTGCTTATAAAATAGGCAATTCTTTTATTGCTTTAACGTCGCTTTTGTGTATCTGCTGAATACTTGTATGGTTTTTCCAGGGCGTGAATGAACTGTATAGTGAATGGGGCGTGTGGTGAATGAAGTGTATAGTGAATGCGGTGAATTGTAGCTCTGCAGGTTGTGTAAAATTCCGTGGTTTCTCATAATCTGTGTGGATCCTAGAATCTGTGTGGATCCAAACAATCTGTGTGGATCCAAACAATCTGTGTGGATCCAAACAATCTGTGTGGATCCTAGAATCTGTGTGGATCCAAACAATCTGTGTGGATCTTAAAATCTGTATGGATCCTAGAATCTGTGTGATTGCCGCTGGGTATATCCTAGAGATTTTCAGACATCTCAGCGCAATCTTTGTGGAGATTGCGAGCGAATATATACTGGCAATTGATTGTTCTATTGATTGATTGGTATCACTAAACAATCATCATGGGCTAGCAAGTATAGCCTACAGATTGCTATATCTTGTTGAGTTTTTGACCCGATGATTGTACGATATCGCGGAGTGATTGTTGTAAACAATCAGTTTAAATTATTTTGTGAACATTCAACTTGAATTAATTCTTTAGAGCAATCAGCTACATAGGATTGATTATTGTGAAAATTCAGTTTGCATTGATTGTTGTGAACAATCAGTTTGCATTGATTGCTGGGAACAATCAGCTTGCAAAACACTTTTTTCTGTTGAGTATCGCTTCACGTGACGATTGTTGGTGAGATTGTGCAATCGCGTTTGAATTCCTTGAATCTTATATCGCGATTGTCGGTGAAGATTGAAATAATGATTGTTGGCACAGTAGTTGTCACTTTGCTATATGGAACTTTATTATGAAAAGTAAATTAATTAATTTAACCGTAAAAACCGTAACTTTTCAAACTATTGACCTATTTCACGCCCCAGCGCCATGTTTCTCCGACTATATTATTATGTATTTTGTAAATTATAAGCTTGTACATGCCTGAGTAACAGCCCTCCATGTATATGACGTTGAAACAGCGTTTATTTTACGTTGCTTCAACGTAAATTACGTTGTTTCAATGTAAATTACGTTGCTTCAACGTAAGATTACGTTGCTTCAACGTAAGAGATTTCGTTGCTTCAACGTAAGAGATTACGTTGTTTCAACGTAAGATTACGTTGTTTCAACGTAAGATTACGTTGTTTCAACGTAAGAGATTACGTTGCTTCAACGTAAGAGATTTCGTTGCTTCAACGTAAGAGATTACGTTGTTTCAACGTAAGATGTAAGATTACGTTGCTTCAGCGTAAGATTACGTTGCTTCAACGTAAGATTACGTCGCTTCAACATAAGATTACGTTGCTTCCACGTAAGATTACGTTGCTTCAGCATAAGATTACGTTGCTTCAACGTAAGATTACGTTGCTTCAGCGTAAGATTACGTTGCTTCAACGTAAGATTATGTTACTTCAACGTAAACTTGAACGTTTAAGGCAGGAATAGCATTGTGCTTGGGTCTGTCGGTTATGTTGACTCGTTTTGTTGAAGCTTGAGGATTAATCGTGAAGTCAATATTACGGATACGCAGTGTGCAGATTTCTTTATTAAACTTGTAACGGTATAAATTGGCTTTCATTTAGAAGGTGATTCACATTTATTTAATTAGTTATGCAGGCCATATTAATGGTTTCAATTAATACTTAAAAGTTATAAGGCAGGGCACGAGGAAACTTTATTATTGTCTTTGAAAATAGGCTCGCATGAGTACAGTTTGAAAAAAAGTTGACTCCGATTGCTTCATCTTGTCCTATTATTGCATTTTTGTACTATTTTTAAACAGCGCAGCCAGAGGGTCTTTTTTCTGGACAAATTCCGCGATTTAATTTTTTCACTAGCATTGGCCGGGCTAAAATTTATGATAGGGGTAGTTCCTAATTAAAATCCAAAAAAAGAAATGGAATTTTTACACCGGAACCTGCAAAAACACTAGTAAATATTTGAGTTATAGGCCTTTTTTGTTCGCGGACTTGGCCGTTTTCAGGCCATCTGGCAAGCCTGAATTATGTACCACTACGTCCCGGAGAAATACACTTCGTGGTACGCATATGTACATCTTCCGAGTCAACGTGTTTGAAAAATCACGCGTTGATGTGCTGCACTGTAACTTTTAGCTAACTACAGGCAGGAAGAGATATTGCTTTTTATAACAAATAAAAATACATGAACGACATTCAAACGACTCCACTAATGCTGGAGTAGAGGCGAACATTTGCTATGCTGGAGAGATAAATTGTTAGGATTTTAAGCCTGACTTATTTTGAGGCCTGGACTGACTCCATGGAAACTTTAAATTGATTTTAAACTCAGCTGTCGTACAATAAGTTAATAAGTACAATACAATTTAACGTTACAGGCGTGCAATAAGTTACATAAACATAGCGATGTTTAAGAAATAAGGCCATGATTATAATCAAGGTCACGACCAAAAAAATAATGGATATGATTGAGATTGTAATCATGATTAAGTCATGGACATGGTAGGGATCTTAATTATGATTAACTTATGGACATGATTAAGAACGCTTGCGCAGTTTGAAGATACTAGCGAAAATGTCTTGGGTAACGCTCAGATATTTTATATTTGTTGATTATCATGAAAATGAATCTTCTTTTTCCTAATAGGAGAACATTCATTTGCAAAATTAATATCGAGGTTCTGGCTGTGGTAAATATTTAGACGAAAAATTTGAAATGCGAGGCCGATCTGTAGTTCTTTTAAGCACTGCACGTAAATGTCCGGTGTCGATCTGGCTTTAAAATCTGGCTTCGTACCGTCTCACTATAATCATTATAATTATGGTATAAGATTAGATTCACTGTAATTGAGACGTAACATTCATTTTACCTCATAGAGATTGATGGAAAAGTACTAGACGCTGACTCAGGTCTAGTGCTTTTCCATCAATCTCTATCACGTCTAGTGAATATTACGTCTCAATAACAATGATCTAATCACATATTATAATTAATATAATGAGATGCCAGATTGACACCGGACATAAATTAATGTGTTGATAGTCGGACAAAATCTGCCATTCACGCGTGGAAAATTTGACATAATGCAGGCTTACCAAAATCTTTTTCCTCCATATTATTCTGAAATAATATTTAAACATCATGAATATTTAACATGATGACGGGCTAATCAAAATTGAATTCGCTTCTACTCAACAGCCACAGTAAATGATGGCACTTTAATTACATCATGGCTGATCCATTCAAGGTTGACCCACGAGAAGTCCCGTCTTTCAGTTCAGCTTTCTTGTTACGTCACTGAGATCGAGAAACGTAAACGATCCCGTCATTCTCATGACGGACTGGTCGACTGGTTTGATCGCATTTCGGTGATTGGTTAATGCCCGTGACGTCACTGAGATCAGTGACGTCACAGGCGAACAATAAACTACATCCGCAAAAATGGGCTTCTGATGGGTCAACCTTATAGTTCACCCATGGTTCCCCCCATCCCGATTTTCATACTATATTATTTCCTATATACTACAAATATTTCAACACTATATTTCCATACAATATATCCGTACTATATTATAGGGCAATAATATAGTAAATATTTTATAATAAATTTAATCAATATTACAGTAAATTTGTTGAGAAAAATTCACGAAATTGCTCGCCAA